GACTGGCCGAAACCCAGCCCCGACAATAATGCGGCTTTCGATTAGTGTTTGGTATGGAGCGTAGATTCTAATCACGCAATGGAGTTCACTTTATCCCCCCCCCAAAAAAAAAATTATATGGATTTAGATGGGATGAAGAGAAAAACTATCAATGCACTCCGAAAGTTAACAAGATGATACAATTAATAAGTCCACGGGCATGAAAGGAGCATTATCATTCAGATACCAGAAAACATAAATGGATTCACTTTGCTACCGTCCTCGAGCACAACAATAAGATCTTTCTTAAAATCACACATTAAAATCTTAGCCACCTAATATCTGCTCTTACTGAGGCTAGAAAACACACACACAGACAAATCTTACCCTGTCAGATGGATGCAACAAGTGTTAGTTCAGACAGCCATCTACCGGAACGTTCAATAAACCCGAGGACTTTAGTTCAGACAAATGTCAACGGGAAACAATGGTACACTACAGGCAAGTAGGCTCAGGAGCAAAGGAAACATGAGTCACAAAGGGGCGACAGAGCGTTCAGACAGCCTCGCGGCATCAGTGAGATTGTAAGGAAAAATGCCAAACATCTGCATTGGACCAATTAACTCACATCTGTCTTTGTTCCTGGACGAATGTGAAGAGACTCGATACAAAAGGAACAATTACAGAAGTCGAATAAAGCGGCGGCAGAGTTACTAACGACGGGTTACACAGGTTGCAAACAGGTTCAGGTGTTCGCCCGTGGTACATAGCACAGACGCGGGTCAAACGGAAATGAGAGACTCAAACAGTAAATTTGAATTTTCTTCCGCCTGTTCGACTTATGTCACTGAATGCGTACGGTGGAACTATTTGTTGTTATTTTTTCTTTTGTTCAAGAATGAAACGAGTGTGAATCTGAATAGGCCAAAAACGTACAACCGACCCGCGAATATACCCTACAACAGGCAACCTCCAGGCAGCTTTAATCATATTTGTCAAGTGAGGCTTAGACGTAGTTATCACTAGTTGAAAGAAATATGAATGATAAACGATCAGTCGGAAATTTTTTTTCAAAAAACAGAAATGAAAAGAAAACCGCAAAACCTCTTGCACCCTGCCGATTGAGATATAACTATTATATTTATCACCGGCTTACGAGCAAGCTTGGTGCCAAAGCAACAACAAGAATAACAGAATATGCGGGGGGGGGGCTGCATAGAAAACGGAGTAAAAAGGGGTCAGATAGTTAAGATGTATAACAAGAATAAAAATTTTTTTATTGATCCACGGTACACTTTTGATATTTGTTGTGTTTATGGGGCAGGGGATTTCATCAGGCGCACTGTATATCATTCGCACTACTGACTTCTATTCTGGACTATATATCTTAGCGTCCCTAACCATCGACAATCCGCATTCCTTGGGCCCTAATCTGGAAGGCGGGCTGCACCAACCGAAGCCAAAACTGAAGCTATCTTCTTCATACCTCTACGCTGTCATGGTTTTTCTTGCCTTGCCCAACACTTTCAATGAGTGCACAGAAAGTTAGATGATAGGCAGACATAAGCGAAACGAGACAAAGCCATTAGAGGCGGTATATAGATAGAGTGATTACTTCTTCTAGACAACTATCCACACACAGTACACGACGACGAACCTCATTATTGCTCACCCGATGTTCTCACTAAACACAAGCAATGCTTCGGAGACATCGAGGTCGAATACAGAAAGCCGATTAGTATCCCAAATACGGAAGGGCCAGGTCTCGCGACCGTAAAGCAGAATACTACGAGCCGCGGCGATGTACGCCCTTCCCTTAAGGAACAGTCAGATGTCATGGCAGCGCCACAGGTGTCGCAGGTTGGCAAAAGTTGCGCCAGCTTTCGCTACTGGTGATGTGATCTCCACCCAAACAGCACAACCAGCTGCGATTAAACCGGCGATATCATCGGCATATTCTAAGTTAAGGACTCTGTTCCCTGTAAGGAGTTTGATTCCCAAAAAAGCATTCTGTAGAACATCCTCAATGAAAAAGTTGAGAAGGGTGGAAAGGGGGAAATATGGGTGAACCTTGTTGAATTCCACTAGAGACCGCAAAGGATTGGGATGCCGAATCGTATAAGGTTCCAACAGTAGATGCATCTAAAAAAATCCGGTACCTTGGTCCAGACCGATCCACTTCCAAATTGAAGAATATAGGACGACTAATACAGTTTTGTGTGCGTGATGTGAACGAAATGAATGCAAACAGTTTGCCTACTACTCATACCGTAGTAACCTCTATTCGAGGGATGAATCATGTTTGTAATAAATAACTATACTGTAATTTGTTTTGGGTGGTGGTGGATCAGTGGTTTAGTCAGTATCACAGGCGTGCGTTGGACCCTATGGTCCGAGGTTCGAGCCCCACCACCGCCACCCAACTTTGGTGATAGGCAGCTTTGCTGTCGCCCGGCTTTATGTGGTTCGCTACTCATAGTCCCGGGGCTTAGGTTGCCGGTTTCTATTACTGAGCAGCATGTCCTCATGACAATGGGGCTTTCACCGTCTACTGTTCATCACACGAAAGTGTGTAGTAAAAAAACACAAGCTGGAATCAGACGTGTACGAAGTACAAATCATGTCAACGACTACCGAATAACCATCTTTCGGGGTGTATAAAGCAAATACTTCATTTGAATGAAAATGGAGGCCGAAACAGCACAGGTGGTGGTGATAGTCAACGTACAACCCGGGCAGACACAACCAAAGTAACAGGATTGTTTACAAAACGATAACTATGGAACGGAATGTGACACCACTTACGGACTGTGCGATTCGTTTGACGCGCGCCGGTCCATCGAGGCGGAGGAATGAGGATTTGAAATTTGATCGTCAGTACGCGTTGAAACTGCCGAGTGATCGCCTTCCCAGTTAAGTTCCACATTCAATTCAGTTCTCGATGGGCTACTAGGTGAATCGGGTTCGTTCGGCTGTTCGGAAGTAGAAAGAGACTTGACACGTGGTGGTTTCTTCGGACCTAGAGCCGAAAACGGTTTTTCCGTGTCTGCTTGTGGCCCGGGAGAGGATCTTTGATGCTGGTGTTGATGGCGTTCTAGCTGTATGGGAGTAGTTGCCGAAGGTGGAACAAACATGGAGACTGGACGATTGGTGGCCACCGGTTTGTCCGACTCCGGCACCGAAGCGTTCCGTTTAGGCCACACAACTGATTTCACAGACGGTCTAGGAGCGGCAGTCGGTGATGTTTTGTCATTTTGGACCATTTCCGAATGAAGTGTGCTGAAAAGTGAGAGCAGGAAATAAAAAATCAAAACAAATAGGTGAGATGTTCACTAATTATTAGACTTATGTAATTTATAATGGGAGTTCAATTTCAGTTTCAGTTTTTACAACCATTAACCATCCCAGTTCGTGCGCTGGTTTTGGTTGTTCTCTTTTGACCGCACCTGTGGAGAAAAGAGTAGAATGAAGATTGGAATGTTGGGAGCAAATTCACAAGCACTGATGATGTCACCTCGGCTGGTGATGAAAAGTTTGCAAACAAATTGCCAAACACGGCGAACAAGCGAAATGGGATTTAGTTCACCCGAGACAAGAGAACTAATTTTCAATATCTTGCCAAGAGAGAACTCGTATAGAATGGGGTTGCAAGAATAACGAGTAGATGAATGAGCACCACTGGTTGCGACACTCAGCCATATTACTTAGTGTCGCAAACCACCGCATTACCAAGACCTCGGGGTCCCCATTCAGGGAGCCCAACGGTACCTTTGTGACCGAGTGCCCTGATTAGGGTTTTCATACCCACATGCTAGGTCTTAGTCTGACCGTTTTCCATGCTCGACCTGTCTCGGCAAACATCGCTAACCGTGGCAACCCATTTGGTGACATGCGCAACACACGTTCCAACCAGCGTAATTTATGGAGATCGATCACTCGTAATGGGAATGGTTTTATATGAACAATGGCCGGGGTGAAATAAGCAACAAAGTATTATGAGTACAAATAATCGACTAATTAATGACCATTGTGTACGAATTCACTGGGGTCATCCTAGTATTCTTTGTCCCTCTTTTTCCTCAAATCTGTGGGTCTTTGAGGCCAGCATGTTCTCTTCAATAGCATCATGCAACGGAAGTGAATCCAATACCATATTACCCCATGACTTCTTTGTCAGCGAATTTCCAGTTAGCCAAAAAAAATCTGAATTCATGCTGGTAGTAGATTTGTTTTGTATGATCGACCGTAGTCGAACAGTCAAAATGCTGGTTCAAGTGAACACGGGTCGGGACATATATGATACCAGAGATCAGAGGTGAACAGCGCACTAGGTGAGATGAGTGCAACTTAAGTGTACGCATTTACAGGCTGCCATTTTCATCAAAATGAGTCGTAAGAAGTCACCCAGAATGGACTGAGTGAGTGACCAGCGTAAACGATGTGAATGTGAGGATAAAATGGCATCTGCGCAACATGTTTGGCTGGAACCGGCAGTCTATGGCTGGAATTGCACAGACTATTTGAGTAGTTTGTCAGTCAAGGGTTACTTACGCAGTGCCAGATGAATGTAGAAATTTAGAGATGTAAACTAATCAAAAGGGAGCGCTTGCAAAAACACTTTGGTTCTAGATAAACAAGGAACGAAGTGGGGGAAGAACCAGACGTATGGGAAACAATATGCAAACTACAACATTCCCGGCAGAAAGGATGAAATATACTACGAGATCTTCTTCGATTATCTGCAGTCTTGTCCGTGAGAATATTACAACTCCTTCGAAGTTTCGGAACCTGGGGACTGGTGAGAGAGAGAGAGAGTGAGAGGAAAAAATACTTACCTTGAACAGGCGACTTTCGATGACGGAGTATGAACGGTTTTTGCGTCAGTCTCACTGCCCTCCTCGGAAATCAGATCCATCGGTGAATGAGAGAACGGGAGTGGGATTGCTGGACCGGAACTGGCAAAAAATTGTGTGCAACCCATATTTAACGGAGTCATAGTGGACGTCTCAAGCCTCTCGTCTGACTCTTCAGTATCACCAGATTCCGTGCGAGTAGGTGGACGACGCTTGCGCTGTCGACTCACGGCCAATTTGTGGTGCATTCCAGCTAAGTTGGAAGACACCGGAGAAGTCGACGAGGCACCAACAATCGCATGAGACTCGTGTGTGGACGGAGTAGCAGAATCCCCAGAGGCCATTGTTGGACTGGCAGTATTTGTGGTGCATAAGAAGGAATCATTTGAGACAAGACTGCCACAGCTATCGGCCGATTTGGTGCCAGCTCGTCCAGGAAGATTAGGTACATCAGGAGTAGGTCTTAACCGAAGCTTGGAGTTTAGTTCATCCTGCAGTCAGAAGAATAAAGGGAGGGGTAACACAAAGTGATAATTATAAAGAAAAGGATAAAAGATCGTCAAAAAGCAGAAAAATCACACGAAAATAAAACCCGACCATGAGGATTGTTTGAAGCATTGTATTCCTGCGATGTAAATACAAGTTTTGAAATAAAAATGGTCAGTTTCCTCAATAAACTATTTCTTAATAAACTCGAAGATTTTTCTACATTTACCTCAAACGATCTAACAAATACGGTCCCTTAATTGCGAGGGCCTCTGAAAGCCTCAGCATGGTCGGGAGTGAGTGTCTAGGGTTGCGGATGTCACCCCTTGCACCTCGCCAAATGCTCCCATACGGCCAAGTGTATCAAATAGCCTCTGCTGAGGAAGCCCTGCTCATTGCCTTCTCGTGGCGGTGTTCCCCACCAAAGTGAGAGGACGAAAAGTCGAGATCCAGGGATATAACCGGGTTGGTGGATCACTGGTAGTTCACCTAGGGGAGTTGGCTAAAAACCCTTATTCCAAACCAACGAAGAGGAGGCGTACGAACCACACACACACACACACACAAGCACGCAAGTTCCCGGACGTTTCACGTCCACAGGGCGCATAATCCGATGAACTGGACACCGGTCCCCAATGGACTGCGGTTTTCACACACCGCACCGCTGCCTTGCGGGTCATGCTTTGGCTAACCGAAGGCTCCGGTTGTGAATTCCCCAAGAAAATTCACCTGCCTTCGCCTGGGCAAGCTGGCAGTATTCGGCCCACATGCAAATGTTGGAACGTTTTTCTTTTCATAAAGATTATTGTACCACGGTTTGTTTGGCACACAGTCAGACCTCGGATGGGTGTGAAGTATAATATACAATACAATACTGAACAGATAATGATCCGCTTTTCCCCTTGGATACCGATTCACGCGGTCGTCTTTACCAAACCCATGCACATTTATGACAAGGTCGCCGTAATGATTGATTAGTTAACCGTACTCCGCAGCTGGATTATATGAAAATTACAAGTGCATGAAAAGTCTCACTTCATCTTATTCGAATTGTCTAAGATGAGCAATGACCGTATCTCAGTGACCTGACAGGGGTTTATGAGGGCTCGTTCAACCATAACCAGGACGTGCTATCCGCAACCTATTCAACTCAAGTTTGAAAATGAATCGAGAGAGACAGGGAGGGAGAGTGCGCGCGCGACAAAGGTCTTTCAAACAAGTGTGCCACAAGTAAAGCAATAACTGGCGAAAACTGACATTGAGAACAGTCGAATCGAATTGGCGTTCACGTCTTCTTACCCTCGTATTCCATCCAAGGTGTGCGAACTAGTGCAATGAGTCGATAGAAGTTCGCATTCCTGAACGGACAGCCGGACAAACATAATGAGAACGGTAGGACATGAGTTCCTAGCTTTCCCTGTTGTATGTTTTGGCACAACCTGACAACTGTCGTTCATTTTTCAACTAATTACCACAGCTTTCCTTCGCGGACTTACGTGGACCATCATTTTGAGTCTCTGCGTCAAGATCGCCGATTATCTTCATAAAACGATTCTTTCGATTGTCGGATTTAAACCGTTTGGCGTGCACAATGATGCAATGCCACGAAGCACAATAATTTGCCGTACAAAAGATGGATACCGAATTCCGGGATAATTGGTCATTAGAAACGAATGTTACTTGATGATACTTGATGGCAGACAGTTTCGCTGAAGCGCAATGCGATGTCACAACCATCCTAGTCAGGCCATGAATAGTTCATCATGTCAAGGCTTAGGTTCTCATTACCAAACACGAGGTCCTGGTGACTATGACGTCCGATCCTTCAATAAATCAATTTATTTAATTAATGACAGAGGAAAAATCAAATGGGTTGTACGGTCTCAAAAATTCCCAATCCCTTCGAATGTAGACAAAGCTCTATACTAGTACGGAAGGCAAGTGCTCCTGGGGGTGCGTCTTTTGGAGCATCAACTGGGGAAGTCACCCTGTCTTCTCGTGGCAAGTGTTTCCAATCAATATAAGGTAAGGGGTTGAAAAGCCAATCTCTGGGGGTATCGCGGGGTCGATGAGCCACAGGTGGCTCGTTCACCTGAGGGAGTAGGAAAACTCTGATACACAACCTTCCAAGAAGCGTAAGAGCTAGATCCAGAATATCCTGGTTCTGATGGTCATTGGTTCAATGGGGCAATCGATGTGAACCACACTCAAACGGCGCGTAATCCGACGGACTAGACATCGGTCCCCAACAGACTGCGGACTTCCGACACTACCCGACTGTCTTGCCGATCAAGGGTTTCGGTCATCAAACCCCAAGAAAATTCATCCGCTCCGGTTTCGGTAACTTGGTAGCATTTCGCTTTCGAACAAATCAAGGAGTGATTTCTTTGATACATAGATATTGAACCATGACCTATCTTTTTATTACACACTTTTGTGTGATGAACAGTAGACGGGGAAAGCCCCATTGTCACGAGGACCTGCTGTTCAGTGATGGAAATCGGTAACCTAAGCCCCGGGACTAAGAGTAGCGAACCACATAAGACCCCGATAGGTTAGATGTGGTACTGGACCGGACGACAGCAAAGCTGCCTGCCACCAAAGTTGGGTGGCGGTGGTGGGGCTCGAACCTNGAACCTCGGACCATAGGGTCCAAAGAACGCCTGTGACAGCGACCAAACTACTGCGACACAGTTTGGACTTGGACAAGCGCGAGAAATTTCCCCAATACTCAACCCCCATTCTAGTACCCTGCACGCTGAGTGATGACTTAAATGATTTACGTGGTCCTCGAAAATAAGTCGCTATCTGACTGAAACGAGAATAAAACGGATACCATCACCGTCACAATCGGGCAGTGAAATCACAGCATCACTATAATGACAATCAAGCAGTGATGTTTACGAATCGGTCATCATAGAATCATGTGGAAATCATAAACATTAACAGATACGATGAGATACTAATTGGATGACTAACAATAAGCAATATATCAAACACTTATGTGAGCACAGACTGCTCCGAATAAACCACGATGCAGTAGTTTTCACATCAAAGAAGTTAGCTCAGAATTTCCATATAAGTGAAACATTGCCACGTTTTCACGTCCAGAGCGTGCGTGTGAATGTGTGAATTTCATCGGAAGGATTTACACCCAGACCCTTAGGTTAACCAAAGGGTCTGGGTGTAAATCCTTCCGAT